TTTTGTGATCAGTGCCGTGGATGTCACCCTTGGATCAAATTTCCAAACATCACGAGTACCATTAATCCCTAATTGTACGAGCAACATCGCATGATTACTTGTATATTATTAGCATGACAAAATTGGATACGTACTTCTCAATGTCAGCATCATATTCTCTCGCCAAAGCCCAGTCCCGCCAGACTTTCAACCAAAATTTGGTGCTTTTGTTTGTATTTTCATTTAGTTCTTTTGTTAAAGCAAAATTTGGTGATTTTGTTCGTATTTTCATCTAGTTCCTCCACGGCAATTTCATTTCACGCTTGAGTTTAAAATACGTTTCTGCCATTTTGTTTGTTTTGGGAAAATCATTAATTGTACTGCAGTACAATTAAAAAAAATGAAATAATTGTACTCCTCTCAACCAATCAGCATCCAGTAATTTTGTCATGCTAATAATAAATTAATTAATTGAACAAAATCTGTCGTGTCTATCTCATTGGGGAATCCGTAGCACTTGGTTGCTGCAATAAGATTTTATCAGTATTTACTATATACGACTGTCAAGTACACTAATGCATACTAAGAGAGCTAGGGCTAAAATACAAAAAATTTGTATATAGGATAAAAAACATCTTCGAACCAAAACACTGTAAATTACGTTTTAAATCCCAGAGTACAGAACTGAAATCGAGGGAGCATATTTACTATTAATATAAATCTTTTTGCTATCACCAGAACTATGCAATTCATTCAATTCACATTGACTATGTTTAGGCGTAGCAATTTGTCCAAAGAGACGGGAGTTCCGTAACTGAGCTCGAACCAAAACAGGATATAAAAATCTTAGAAATCCAAAATCGAAAAGACGTATGAAATGATTGTTAGGAGAAATATCCCTACGCTGTTGCCTGATCCTTTTCCATTTATTAAACGAAGGACGTGGTTAAAGATTTTAGGAATTACATTACAGGATCTCCCTTCCAAGTGGGATTTGCATTTTGATGAAATGTTGAAAAAAGCCAGTGCAAGAATGTACATAATGCGTGTCTGTAAATACTATGGCTTCCCAATCAAACAACTGGACATGCTGTTTAACACTTTAATTATGCCTATAATCACTTACGGCATAGAACTTTGGGAAGGCGCATACTTCAATAAATACATTAGTCAAATAGACAAATTCATCAATCGCGCTCACAGAAATGGTTACATATCGGAAAAATTGAATATTAAGGAGATAAGCATCAAAAGGGACAAGAAACTTTGGGATAAAGTAATACATAATAAAGATAATGCACTACAGGAGCTTTTACCAGATAAATTAAATAGACACCTTAGGCCAAGGGGACACGAGTTTGAACTTCCATTAGTGAGAACAGAGCGATTTAAAAGTTCTTTTGTAAATCGATGTTTGTTTAACTTTGTTTAACCAATTTTAACCTTTACCTTTTTAACATTATTAATATTTTTATCCATAACTGTATATATCTAGTTATTACCTTATAGATATCAATAATTTTATCTTATATATTTTTATAATGTAAACTCACAGACGGGTGTTCTTGAGTATGAATAAAGACTGTTATTATTATTATTATTACTAATACCTATCAGTAATATTTCATTTAAAAAAAAATTCATTCGATCGTTACTTAAAACGCGAATTCACCTGTTTTTTGTTGCAAATGCTAGTTTTATGCAAGGCCTTCTCGGCGAAGCGTGTTCACATCTCGCTTCCTCAACGAATTTTCTTCCCCATTATTTCACAAAACTTCATGAAATCTCACCTGTATGTAGTTAAAAGTTGCCCGGTTGTTATCGATGGATACAAGCAAGTGTTAATTAATATACGACATTTTTTGTACTGAAAGCAAAATCGTTCGCTCCCACAGCCGCCATTTCGTTCGAAAGCAACCTATAGCCTCCTACCGTTATGCTTAACGGGCATATTTTTAATAGGCAAGTGGTCAATTGTCGTACCTCTTTGGGCGATCCTTCTTTAGTATTTAATTATTCGCCGGTCTGTGCTTCCACCAATGTTATGCACGACCCGTCGGGCTGTAGGGGTAATAGCTCAACAGAATAAGATTGATATCACTGACACCAACAACAAGTTTTTCATTTTTCAGATATATATTTTATAATATTGTGCGTCCTTATGCGTAGCTATATTGATAGACTGATCACATTCAGTATAGATCTGACTAACCACAGTGAACTAAGTAAATGCTTCTTGACCGTGTCATACACTTTGTCTCAATTCAATAAAATTGCGCTGTTTTGACAATCACCTGCAGAAATTGTGTATAAATCTGTTATATTATTTCCGTCTATAACACGTAGAAGTGATTTTGTCTCTACTTTTCATTGCAGATCAAGCACCAGGCTCGTATGATAAAGTTTTAGTAAAATCTAAACCACACAAGAGTTATCTTTCTGCCTTCAATTCCACATATATGTACTTTCAACTGGATGCGTCAAATGCTTACAACTTTCGGGAAAAAAATCATAAACTGTGCACTGAGATTGGAGTATGCCTCATGGCTCTGGTTACCTATCCAACACAGATGCTCTTCCTTGAATCCGTGGATAATTGCTTCCCACGACTAGGTGCTCGTGTTGTAAACAACTTAAACTACCATTCCAATTCCAAAAATATTACTGATAATACGGGAATGTGCTTGGGAATGGATTCCAACAATATTGCCTTTCTTTCATTTTCACGGTCTTTATGTGGCAAGTTTAATCTAATCAGTATAAACACAGGTACGCATTTTTATCATGATTTATTTCATAATAGACAACATGCATGTTAGACTAATTTTTGATCTTGTTAAAACAGTAAAAATTCTCGTAAAGAATTTGCAGAATTTGGTCACAAAATGTTGTATAATTTGGATAATACAGCCTTGCGAAATTTGCATATTTTGTACATGTTTGTATTATGTGCGGGAACTGTTAGCCGAAAATGGTAACAATCCGCAGGTAATATACAAATAAATAAAATTTGCAAACTTTGCAAGACTAATATATATTTCAAACACTCATTAATAATTCATAAATTAGAGAAAAAAAAAAAATAAAAAAAATTCATTCATTCAAAAAAAAAATTCATTCATTGACAAATCGTGTCAACCATAATATGTCACGTGCATTGGCTTTAAACCAATTTTATATATATATATATATATATATATATATATATATATATATATATATATATATATATATATATATATATATATATATATATTTATATCTTAAAATTAATTATTGCTACTCAAGTTTCACGCCTTATTCAAGACGATCTTCAGGCAATTAATTCAGTTAGTGTTTGATTCGTCAATATCAACGGTCGCTCGCTGACGTGGAGGTTTGTCTATCGTCACCGGTTTGGATTTGCACGCGCTAAAGTTTTTCTTGTGACAGCACTTTGCATAAAACTCTGATCGCGTGTTCAGTGAATTGTTTCCTTTCGCTTTCAGGATACATAATTTCTCTTCCAAACAGAGGCCACATCGCTTTCCACCAGGCGTGTACGCAGCAGCTCGTTTCAAGATGGACCACTTGATGCTGTAATTTCTTCTACTTTGCTTCAGACTCCAAACGTACTTCGAAAGCTTTGTGTCAGACGAGTGGTTGTAAAGGTTGAATGACGTTTTGTGGTTGGCGTATCTTTCTTTGAATGGGTTGGCCGTCATTCCGATATACTCTTTTGTATTTCCGCCATCAGTTGTTGTCACCGTGGCTTTGTAGACAATGTTGTCTACTTTACACTTTCCGTCTAGTGGGCATTCATCTGGTTTTTGGCAGTTGCATGGGATAGGTTTTCGTGTAGGGTTTTTCTTTAACAGGCGATGGTTATGTCGGGATATTATGGTTTTGATATTCTCCATGCAGGAGTAGCTAACTTTGACTGTGTTGCGGTTAAAGACCTTATGGAGCGGGTTGGTAGAAGGGAAATGTTTATCAATCAACTGTAGGAAGTTTCGACCGACGTTAGTTCGAACTGTTTTGCTGAAGGGTGGATTAAACCAAATGATGTTTCTACGACGTCTTCGGTTGGTAGATGGCAAACTGGAGGAATTATCACAGGCCGAGTATTGCAGGGGTACATCGTAGTTACTGCGCTTAAGCGCATCTTCGTAGAATGGTGCAGCAGAATCAAAGGATGCTTGATCGGAAGAGAGCGAGGAGATGCGTTTGCTGATTGAGGAAGGGATATGGTTGATGATAGAGGGTGGGTAGTTAGATCTATTGTCGACGTAGAGAGGGTCGTTGTTTGGTTTCCTGTAAGGTGAAAATGTTTCGTTTTTCAAGTCCAAAGTGAGGTCGAGGAAGTTGACAACATGATGGTTCACCTCTGCTGTTATCTTGAAGCCAATATTATTAAAGATAGCGTGTAGTTCTTTCCTCGCGAGGAAAGCGAATTTCCTCGCGAATGTTCACTGAACACGCGATCAGAGTTTTATGCAAAGTGCTGTCACAAGGAAAAATTTAGCGCGTGCAAATTCAAACCGGTGACGATAGACAAACCTCCGCGTCAGCGAGCGACCGTTGATATTGACGAATCAAACACTAACTGAATTAATTGCCTGAAGATCGTCTTGAATAAGGCGTGAAACTTGAGTAGCAATAATTAATTTTAAGATATAAATATATCTTGCTATCTTGCTCTACTATAATACTAGTGTTGAGCACTTCTACTACAACAAAACAAGGTATATATATACATATATATATATATATATATATATATATATATATATATATATATATATATATATATATATATATATATATATATATATATATATATATATATATATATATATATATATATATATATATATATATATATATATGAATATATATATATATATATATATATATATATATATATATATATATATATATATATATATATATATATATATATATATATATATATATATATATATATATATATATATATATATATATATACTGCTCATCGCACATTTTTTCTTTTGGTATAGATGAGTTATGCCTTAACAGTTAATAGGCGGCTTATATTGATGCTGCTCATTACATGCAGTATCTACCAATGGTATGGAAATTCAGTTTCTGCAGTCGATATTTGCAGGAATAAAGACAACTGCCTTCAAACTTGTGACTCCACGAAATGTTCGTCTTCCTGTATTACTTCCACGGCCTGTGACCAGATATGCAATGCAAAGGATTGCAATATGGAATGCCAAGCTGACGTTGATCGCTGCGTTCAAGTATGCAATAATGAAGACTGCCAGATTACATGCAATTCCAAAAAGTGTGATCAAGTTTGCAATGGTGAACAGTGTACAGGAGTATGCAGCTCTGATGCCCAGGAATGCATTCAAGTATGCAATGATGAAGGATGCTCAGTGTCTTGCAGCGGTGAAAAATGTACCTCGGTATGTAATGATAAAGACTGTACAACTTCCTGCCCCGATGGCGCAGAGGAGTGCACTCAGGTATGCAATGCACAGAATTGCGCCCTATCCTGCAATGCTACGAAATGTGATCAGGTTTGCAACAAGGGTGATTGTACCTTAAAATGTGGTTCTGGAGTTCAGAGATGCATTCAGACATGCAACATAGGACCATGTAAACGTTTAACCAGTAATTCAGGTTGGCGCCTGAGTAAAGGATATGGCATCTTACTGATTGCTCCTTTCCTAGCCAATTTATTCAATCTCCTTGAGAAATTTTGAACTGCTTTGAAAACAACGGCTGGAATTACTTATCTTATTGCACGAATTATAACTAAGTTTAACTAAGTCATTTTGAACAATTAATCATATAATAATTCATTTTCGTTTTTGTAACATTGTATATTTTCTAGTAAAGACAGCCTTAGTTCACTCCATACACAATGTATCAATTTGTTTGGGAAGCAGCAAATATAGATTTAACATTTAATTGTGTTATGCAGAGGCGAAAAAGTGGGCTAGTAAGAGACAGAGGAAGGGGCCGCCACAGTTTATTAAATAAATGTTTTTCACTGCACTTGCATTAATTTTATACTATTGATTATACGATTGACGCGGCATAACGGCATAACTGAAATTTATGATCCGAAATCACAAGAAAGTACTAAAACTGTTTCAATTAATATAAGGAGAGTTAGGTGGATCAGTGTCCTAAAATGGGAACCCTTTTTTGTGGGGTTCCTAAACCAATGACTGACTTAATATTTGCCTAACTACATTAATACTGGAATGATAACGTTGAGTCATGAAGCCTCCCGTCAGTATATGGTGGCGTACGACGGGTGTCTAAAAAAAAGGTGTCTAAAAAAAAAACGCTACGGAAATTCAACAGGCTGTTGTGCATCACAAACTTAACAAAACAATTCAATTTTTGCATAGGACGAAAGAGCTGTTATTTAGCTTTTCTATGATATATTTCTTAAACCGTAACGATGAGAAACATACTCGTCAAATAAAAGTTGCCGGTCGAAATCACATTCTTCCACCGTTGGGAATTACATAAAAAACGAAACATAAACAATTCCCAAGAGGGAATTAAAATTGAATGTTAAATTATCTAAAATAAGCTCAACTCATCAATCTTCGTCTTAGTGAGACCATAAGAACGTCCATTATTGCATTAAACATGGTTCAATTAAGCCCTGAACAGAGAACATTCGTAATCAAAACGTTTTACGAAACAAGTACCTTGCAGCAGACTCGCGTTGCTTTTGGATTGATTAACTTTGCATAATTAATGTCTTTTCAATTCCCAACGGTGGAAGAATGTGATTTCGACCGAAAATTTTATTGGACGAGTATGTGGCCATTTCTCATCGTTACGGTTTAAGAAATATATCATAGAAAAGCTAAATAACAGCTCTTTCTTCCTGTGTAAAAATTGAATTGTTTTGTTAAGTTTGTGATGCACAACAGCCTGTAGAATTTCCGTAGCGTTTTTTTTTAGACACCCTGTATAATGCTTAATTAAGAAAATGCAATTATCTTTCGTCGGTCAAAAAACTGTCGCCAAAAACATGGCGTATTTTCACGTTTGCTGTCGTCATATTGTTCCACTCATAGAAAATATAAAAGAATCGGTATGAGAATTGCGGGATAAATTCAGTGAAACGAAAGTGGGGCCAAACTGAAGCTTTCTTTTGGGGGCTAGATTTAATTCCAGTGTGTATAAGTCCCGGATTTAAAAACATACGCCTATTTGCTACATAACCTCGTTAGCAACGACGACAACATTTCTATACTAATAATAGTGTGAATCGTAAAAAAATCATTCGAAAAATACGCGCAAATTTAGCAAAATGTTGTAGAATATGAAGACGTCCTAATTTTTAAACACTGTTGACTACCGACATGGTAGTGCTTTCCTTTGTGTTTTCGCCATAAATTATTGAGTTTTTAAAATGTAGAATAAAGTGAAATTTATTCACTCAAGTTTACCATGATGATTTTGTTAATATAGGGCAGGCGTATGCTTCTTTCATTTGATTTTCTTGTTTCTAAGCCAGTAATGAGAGTTGCTGAAGATTTAGGGGGGGGGCAAGGGGGGGGGATAATGCCCCCCCCCCAATTATTTTCTGCCCCTCCCCTAAAAAATTTATTAGTCACTGAGAGCGACTAAAGGCTACACAAACGTTTTTTCGTTATCGGAAAATATATGGCTTATAAGTTGTCATTATTCATTAGTGAATGCACGCATACATGAAACTGTTTTTTACAGTTTCAATATTAGTTTGTAAATCTCTGAATGGTAAAACTTGCCAATACTCCAATAATACATTTCCGTGAAAAAAGACAAGTTTTGCAGAGTTAAATTCTCAAACGTGCAAGGCACTAATAAGATGAAAGTATCACGAAATTATTTGAATAAACCACATCGCATATATGAGGGGGGGGGCGAATATCCTAAAGGGGGGCGATATTCCTAGGGTATTCGCCCCCTGGGGGGCGATATTCCTAGGAATATTGCCCCTCTTTTTGAGAGGGGGGCGAATCTACTGGGGTGGGAAGTCCTGTCAAAACGGCATGGGCAAATAGCAGTGCCATTTTAAAAATTCTATCATGCCCCCCCCTCAAATATGAGTTTGCCCCTCAAATCCCCCCCCCCAAAAAAAAATTCTGAGGCTTGGCTCCGCCACTGAATCTATACATGGAATGCGACTCTAATTAAAAAAATTGACCATATATATAGCCAAGGCCTTTTGCTTCTACAGTTAGATGGTCGGCAAAAATGGTTTTGGCTGATCACGCGACACCCTGAAATTTGGATTGTCATCTCGTGTCTTAACATCAAGGATGAATAAACGATACATGTGAGAAATGTATACTCAACAAAAGCAAGTGCTCGTCTGTGCAATTTCGACCGAATAGTTTTGTGATCTTCCATTATGCATACCATATCTATCGCTGAGGTGAAAATGTGATAAATCGTATTCGCTCAATATTTTATAGTCCTTTAAGAACGAAAATTGTCAATGCACTCTCGTTCTACACTAATAATAATTATTTGCACATTTATTAAATTCAAAATTATTGGCCGATCAGGTGTCAAAACAAACCAGCCAAAGCAGAGACTGTTTCGTTGACCATACAACCGCGGAAGCCAGAAGCCCTGGTACGAGGTTGATATATGGTGGATATCATTTAGGAATTCTTGGGCGTCAGTTTCAATTCCCTTACTTTCGCGATCAACTAAAAATATGATCAGTTTGCTATGCCCGAATGAAAATAAAATAAATCTGTGAACGTTTTTGTTTTGTTTTAAAGTTCCCTAACACTATCCCTCTTCATTCGTCCTTGTAAATTTAACATTATAGAAGTGTTTAATTTTACCTCTTTCCCCTACCAGAAAGCAGAAATTTCCTCTGTACTGTAGTGGGAGCTTGTATCTTTTCGACAATGACCCAATATATCATCCTCGTCCCCTGGGCTTCTCTTTTCTTTTGGCTCGCCGTTCTTTAATTAAGACCTTGTGGAACCAGTCTATAGGAGTGGTGGTGCACCGCAGCTCACATCTTTATTTTATATTTAAGCTCATTTTCTGCCATGAGTGAATTCACTCATACGTCATCTACTCATCGTTGTATCATTTGATTGAATGAAACGTTTTTTTCTCACATTTTTTCTCATGAAACGAGTCCTTGCATGAGCAAATCTATTCGGAAAACTTAGTAACCTGTAGTATCGACCGCTCTGAAAACTGTCCTGTTTTCAGAAAATATGTTTAAAACAAAAAATAACTGAGAAAATATGAAAAAAACCCTTACAAAATATGTTAAAGATGATGTCCACTCCTGTGCGCATGCGCGAACTTTGTTTACGTTTTGAACTGCTATGTTTGTAAAATATGATACACTAAACTGAATATCTAACACTTTTCTAGTTCGCTACGCTTGTAAATGAATATAAACTCTACGTTTCAATTCAAAAGTTGGAAAGATGCAAAACTTGGGCAATTTTATATCTGCATGGGGGTCCCCTTTGTTATGAGCAGAACTAATGCGCAGAACGGAGTGGAAATCATCTTTAAAGAACTTAGAAAAAAAACCAAAGAACTTAGAAAATATGTTGCTATTGTTAATGTATCTTGGTCAAAAATTATTTGCAGAAATTTATCAAACATTGTTTAGCCATATTATAAATAATTTATGGACTGAGCTTCTTCAGTCCGGTATGTAGAATTATATTAGTCTCGTTCTTTTTCTCGTTTTTGTATATTATGGATTGATGTCCTCCGGCTCCAGTCTGCACCTCTCGCTCAGTCAATAATTATATTATTAGGGGCCATTTATAAAATGTGTGACACTGTTATTGCCAACTTTTTACCCCCTCACGATCCCTTTGCGACAGTGTTTAGCAGTACACCCCATCGTAGCCTGAAAACAGACCTACGTTTCGCCCGCCCTAAAACTCGCGGGTCGGCGAAACGCAGGTCTGTTTTCTGGCTAACCCCATCGTAAAATACTTGACTCTACACCCTGCACCTACATGGCCATATGCCAGGGGAGGATTTGATAGTAAACATTGATTTGTCATCTAAGGGACATATATTTGCAGGCACGGTCTTGTTTTGTTATAAACAGGGATAAATTTTCTCCTATACACCTCTCCGTCACGTGATACCACTTGTGATACCCCTCCCCCCTCTTGTGACACTACCGTAAACCTCCGACTATAAGCCCTGGGCTTATATACTTTCGCAAGCGATTTTTGATGGGCTTATACAAAGGCGGGGGGGGGGCTTATATATAGGGGGGGGGTAATACATGGACGATCTTTTGCGTTAGTAATAAACAAGTCAGACATAAACAAGTCAGTCATAAACAGGAAACTAAACATGTAAAACACGCTTTGATTTACATAGTCGGCTATAAAGACAATAGGGCCATTTATACCGAATAAAATAAGTCGCGACTTACATAAGACGCGTCTTATATAAGCGGAATAATAGCATAGTTGCCCCGGGTTCTTTTGTTTCAACAGGGTCGATTACTAACTAATCGCCCGCTGTAGCGGGCGATTAGTTCTAATCGCCCGCTGCAGCGGGCGATTAGAACTAATCGCCCGTTACCAAGGGTCACACCTTTGTCTCCCTGACGACTACGCATTAGGCAAGTGCCTCACGCACATAATCGTGCAAGGAACAGCAACAGTTAGCTCAGAGCCATCAATAGTCTATCATCCGATCCCTGAGTTGCCGCATCATTTAAATTACGCACGTGCAGTCTCCAATTTTATACTAATATATTTAGCGTTTTTGTTGTGGTACGTTAAATGATAGATTGCGCATGCGTAACCGATTAAAGCGTTAAAAGTGCGCATGTGCAACAAGCTTTTACATCCCACAAGCAATGAAGCAAATGTTTTAGCTTAAATACGCTGATTCCAAGTAGCGCATGTTTGTCCATTTTTAAATGGGAGCGCAACTATGCTATTACAAACTAATAGCATGGCTTTTCGGGAGATTAGTGATTAAATGACCCCTTACCCTCGGCAGGTTTGCGGAATTCCCTCGGGCTTCGCCCTCGGGAATTCCGCAAACCTGCCTCGGGTTACGGGGCCATTTAATCACTAATCTCCCTCAAGCCATGCTATTACTTATAATAATATGACATTCAAATTCCAACAAAGGCCTGATTTCAAAAGGTATGTACAGGGTGTCTCAAAAAACCCGCTACCCTTGGAAATTTACCATTGTTCTAATTTGAATGCCTGAGTGCTATCTTGAATTGCCTGAGTGCTATCTTGCTACAATTTGAATGGAATTTTATGCTTGAGAAGTTATTGAAAAGTTTCTGGTTTTGTTCAGCATATGACTGATTGATTTAAACGCAACAAAAATACGTAAGTCAAACAAAACGTTGTTTATTTTTACAATTATTAAGCACCTCGTCCTTCGACGTGGCCCCCATTTCTCTCAACACAAAGTAATGTTCGTCTATGCATATCACGCACGGCTCGGCTAATGAGGGCAGGCTGTTATCGTAAAGCATCAAACTCTTCGATGATTCTTTGGCGTAACGCATCAATAAAGGTTCAGGCATTCAAATTAGAACAATGGTGAATTTCTAAGGGTAGCGGTTTTTTTGAGACACCCTGTATACTTTTTTGGGGACACCTTATACAGGGTGTATGAAAAAAAAGGAGACCTTTAGAAATCAAGCATATTGTTAAAATTTGAATGCCATTTCCATCAGCACATATGCTGAACTGCATGTGGTGCGTGAAATATTGATGGAGTGCAGAAATCAACCATTGTTATAATTTGAATCCTGGAGCACTTTGCTAAGCACATAGCAGATTGATCCCAGGAGCAGACAATCTTTTGTTTAAACGTTATTTCAAATTCTAAAGGTCTCCATTTTCTAATATATGCACCATCAATATTTCACGCACTAAGGTTCAGCATATGTGCAATTGAAAAGGCATTCAAATTTTAACAATATGCTTGATTTCTAAAGGTCTCCTTTTTTTTATACACCCTGTAGAGGCGATTGATTATGGTTTGCGATCAATCATTGTCCAAGCTGCTATTTAGACTTGAGATATAAATTATTCCTTATTTTCATCATTCGCTTCTGTTTGCTTGTTCTGCTTTGTATTATAACTAGTACTCATGCACGCTTTATATACTGTAGTGATCTATTTTAGAATTGTTAACGGAGGTGCCTTGCATGGGACTTATCGTCTCGTTCGCTTCTTTCCTTTTGGGAAACGATGTGTATTAATTTAGCAAATAACAGTACAATTAGATCATGATAAATTTAGCTAGATTTCATTCGATGTATGTTCGTGTTTTTCAGGAGATACGCGTTTATACAGATCTGCAGATCTTGGAAATGTAGCCAGTTTGAATCGGTTCGGAAGTGGATCACTAATCTCAGGTAATCTGCATAAAAACCCGTCAAAATGAGAAATACTGTAGGAGAAAATCGGCCATTAGAAGTGAGCTGATGCTCATGTACAGGGATGGTGGGTTTGCAGTATATCTAATCACCATCGTGCAACAGATAACAGAGAAAGAAAGTAATTTTATGCTTTTGTTTGTTGTATGAAGTATTATATAGCATTTTATTTTGCGGTAAATGAATAGAAATTTCGGAGAGATGTACCCGGTTGCGAAGAGTGTCAGCATTTTTGAAATTTGAAGTAGGATTTAACATTATTGTACTATTAAAATACATTTATTCCAATTTATTTTTATTCAGATTTTGAAGGTCACATCAATAATATAACTTTTCATAACATTACTCACCCAAGAATTGAAAATATTCTGACAGATTACACCCCAAGGCCTCCCTTGGAGAGTTTCCCTTGTTAAAATCTTAGGACGCGACGCTACTGTTCTCATTTTAGGTACTCTAAACGATCCATGTTTGGTGGCCCCGTACAATTGCGCAGGCGGATTGACAGTTTCATTTTGGCTGCAATTTATATCTGGAGGAATCATAATCCGTACAGGCAAAGCTGGTTTCCACGTTTATGTGGAAGGTGAAAAATTCTTCATCACCTACCAAGGCGTGGACAGAAGCTGGACCATAGAACGTGGATGTATTCCTATGGGCGTCTTCCTCGTGACAGCCACGTGGAATGCGGCTGGCGGATTGTCGTATTACGAGAATGGGAAACCTGTGGTTTCAACGCAAATCTCCGATCCGAGTTCGATTTCTGGGAATTTTGATGACGTCATCACTGTTGGGTATGAGGAAACGTCGAGCGGGAAAAGATATTCAAGTTTAATCATCGATGATCTGATGATATGGAACCGTGCCCTAAGCTCTGAGGATGTTCAAACAATTTATGATGCTGGTAAGCCGTTAAATCTTTAGAGCATTAAATGTTTAAAATTGAGACGTTCTCTGACCAACGTATTTTAATGGCGAGCTTTCGGCTATCAGGCCTATAGCCTCCACCCATTGAAGCAAGAGATTATAAATAATTTCATCAGAGAACGTTTCAATTTTAATTTTTATTTCATATTTCACAGTAAGTAAGTTAACAAAATTAACTACATTTGAATACAAATGGACAAGATTTTTTGGAGAGCGAGTGCTCTTCCAGTGAGTGGAACGTTAGACCATGCAGTAACATAGCTAGAATTTCTAATCAAGGGGGGGGGGGAATCCCTGCTTGGAGGGCCCAAGTAATTTTACCTTGCACCAGTTCAAATAAAGTTTGCTTATTCTGTGAAAAATGTACTTGGGCTTCCACGCTATCCATGCATAATATAGAACAATTAACGTTTAGGGGTGCGGGGCTATGCTCCTCCCGAAAATTTTTTTAATTGTAGAGTTTGTAAACTGCCATTTTCAGCATTTTGGGGGCTATTTTAAAATGCGATTTGATGATTTTAAATAACCATTTAACACATAACAACTCTACTTAATCACAAATGAATCCAGAATATTTAAAACATTGGAAGATATAAAATTTCCATTACAAGAAATGAAAATATAATGAACATGGTTGTGCAGAAACTACGCCTTTTTCCACTGGAATGCAGAAGAGAGATTTCGGATTTAACTTTATTGTTTAAGTCCAGAAATGGGCTAATAACTATGGACGTGAATAAGTACCTGAACACTTACGTTTATTGCTATCGGACACGTAATTACGACCCAAATAACTACAACTTGATTATTAAGCACAACAAGACTATTATAGAAAGTCGTTTTTCATTAGGGCTGCAGAACTCTGGAATACGTTACCTTCTAATTTAAAATCTTGTAATTCAATTACTTTATTTAAGACTAAAATCACTAACCTATACTTCGATAAATTAGCTACGTATTGCTTACCTGCGTGAATATTTCTTAGTGTATTGTATTGATGTATAGGGGTAGGATGGCAACTGGGACATTAGTCCATAACTCCTGCCAGTCGTCTGTTTGGTAAACTTGTAACTTGCTATATATGTCATTGTAATTTACTGTCGAATTAATTAAACTAAACTAAACTAAACTACTGGTCAGAATTTTTCTAAGGAAGGCCCCATATTTTTCTATTTTCAAGATACCTTCTTGACATGTTATCATATCGCCCGAACTTCGAAATTCTGTTGGTGTTAAAGATTAGAATTAGAATTATGTGCTTATGTTTTCATAAAATTCGGAGTTGAGCGTTTGAACACACAGTGTTGGAAAGTGAGGTATCCTTGTGGGTTAAATTTTTCCTTGTGTCCTCGTTATGTATAAGCGCCCCTGGTACTGAGGTCGTCCCTTGGCTTGAGAAATTGAAGTGTCATTTTATACGTTGTTATTTCAGGAATCTCAACCTCATTTGGTCGTGCATCATGTCTGTCAGGCCCATGCCAATCAGGATCATGGTGTGTTCAGGGTGCTTCCTCTACTGCACATGCCTGCCTACAGCCCACCAGTAGTGATTGTTCATTTGAAGAGGATCTGTGTGATTTCAGCGGTCTTTATGCTACAAAAACGTCGACAAATAACCAGAGCGCAATCATCGAAAATATGCCTTATCATGATCACACGTTTGGGAGCTGTACAGGTAACAAGCATTAGATATGCTCATATTGTGGTATACTTTAAGTTTTGTGCACAGTTCCATGTTTGTATCATAGACGGATGTTTTGGGTGTGCAGAGGGGTGCGCACGCCCCCCAATTATTTTGCACCCCCCCCCCCCAGAAATTTAAATGCTCATTGGATTAAATGACATGCAGTATTGTGATTGAAATAAGGATTTTAAACTGAATAAGACTAAAATCATAACAAAAATTTTGTACTAAATAACACCATAGTCCTGGCTAATTCAACCCAGCTATATGAATGAATAAACCAGATTATGTTGGGTGGATTATTAACCAAGAATTTCTGGTTTATAGAATAGTCCACCTAACACCATCTTTGTTGATTTAACCAGGATGCATGTGATCAAATTAACCAGGATATTATGGTTAAATTGATTACGAAATTTAACCATGCAGGAACATTAAAGTGGCACTGTCATTAAAATTTTTATTGTCTCAAACGAAAGAACTTCTAAAACTGTAAAGTAACTTCTTTTGAAAAAATTGGTTTTCATAGTTTGTTCTTGAGATATTTCATTTTGTTTCAAACCATGTGATGTCATTTACTCAATTACATATATAATACATGTAAAGTGGGATATCAGTAAATGTTGTGTTTCTTTGTATTTTTGACGGATTTTTTTAAAAAAAACAGTATGCGTAATGATGTAGGTTAAATTAACAAACGCGCCGCATCTTTGGAAAGATTTTGATAAAAAATAGCAAAGATACATAACAATTACTGATGTCTCAAAATATATGTAATTGAGTAAGTGACGTCACATGGATACAAACAAAATAAAATATCTCAAGAACTAAGCATGGGAACAAAAATCTTCAAAACAAGTTACTATACAGTTTTAAGAGCATTTATACAGTTTTAAGAAAATAAAAATTTTAATAACAGTGCTGTTGTAATCATAAAGTAATAAAAGAAATGAAAAACCATACTAATTGCATGGCTTTATCCTACTTTAAAGCCAGCTATAAACTTAATACGTTTTACAATGTACAAAATGGCCGACACTAAAATGACCAATGACTAACGCGGGCTCAGGTGCCACAGCAACCCAATCCGGTAACTAATAAATATAAAGTTTATGTCATTCTTCCTCCCTAAAATAAAAATTCAACTTACTATAATTAAATAAACTAATGTAAAAGTCATCTTACTATAAGTTCAAATACTAGTAAACGAATAGTTCATTTAGCCTATTGTTTACCAACCATAACGAGATGGTGGTTTAACTTTACGACTTGAACGTCTGAGTGCAGGTACTTGCGTTGTTGAATAGTGCTGTGGATCAGAAGCCGTTGGCGATGTAGTTGAATCCTGTTGTGAATCGGCGGCCACGGTATCTGGAACATTCGGAGCTAAGGGAGTGTTCATTATTTATACCCGGGGTTGGTACCGAAGAGAAATGGGTTGGGTAAGCCATATTTCTGGGGTTTGAAGGGTTGGGTAAATATTTTTTGAACAAAGCCTATGGTTGGGTAAATTATTTTCAATACAAACCTTCAATTGAACAAAATATGAAAATCGTTTATTTAACAAAATGGGTCATTCCAGGAAATATCCTTTCATTCCCGACAACGAAAACTAAACTCCAACTCCCCATCCCCTCTGATTACAACAACGAGACATGGTAGGACTGGCTTGGGAGCATAATATGAACTTGTGAAGGTACAAATGATTTTATTTGACATTCAGTTAGTGCACCAAATATGCATAGTACTGTTTATACTATAGTGGCCTAGCTTGTATAATAATATATATGTATATATGTAAAATACTTGTATAATTTTGAAATTGGGTTGGGTAAAATAAAAATCGAAAGGGTGGGTGGTTGTTTTTTCTCTTTTCGATTAGTTTCTCTTCGGTACCAACCCCGGGTATAAATAATGAACACTCCCTAATCCATTTTCCACTTCTCCGCTTGGCAGGATTCCTTGTGGTTCATTCCGGACAGGAGTAATGGGGCAAGGAGCTAGATCTCGAAGGGAAACTGAGGATTCTCTTCCATCGGGGTACAGTAAAATCCCGCGCATAAGAACCTAGATTTTTCAAGTTAGCCTAAACAGGTTCTTATATAAATGGTGCTTATCGTGAAATTAGGCTAAACAGGTTCTTAAATAGGTTCTTATTTTCTAAAGAAAAAGCGACTCATTTTCAGTTGGTGTAGAAGAAAAAGCGACTCATTTTCAGTTGGGGTAGAAAAAAGTTATATAAATTATTCCAATATGAAGAGAAGAGTTCGTTTTCTTTTATTTATAAATTTTAGTTTCGACTGTTAGAATGATAAAAATAAAATAAGAACCTGTTTGAAATTTTAGCCTAAACAGGTTCTTATACAAAGGGGGTCTAAATAAGCAATTTTAGCCTAACAGGTTCTTAAACTCTAGGTTCTTATACGCGGGGTTTTACTGTACTTCACATGGGCGTAAGTGGGGTTTGCATCGGTTAGCTCTATTTGGTCGACAAGCGGGTCGTTCTTGCTTGTTCTAACAAAACGCCTTAACAGGACCGGTCCCGGGTTCTGTAGCCAGGATGGTAGCGAAGTTCCCAGAGATGAACGTCGTTGGAAGTTGAAGAATCTCTCGTGTGGAGTGGTATTAGTAGAGGTAGAGAGGAGTGATCTTATCGAATGAAGGACGTCTGGAAGCACCAGTTCCCATTTTGAATCAGGTAGATTTGCTGACTTGAGGGAAAGTCGAACAGCCTTCCAAATAATACCATTATAACGTTCGACCTGTCCATTTCCAATTGGGTGATAGGGGGTTGTTTTGCTTGTTGCTATCCCTCGTCGAGACAACTACTCCTTGACTTCTTGTGAAAGGAATGAGGCACCACGATCCGAGTGAATGTAACTAGGCATACCACAAACGGCGAATATCTGATCCAAACATTTGATAACTGTCGAGGAGTGCATGTTTGGACAGGGGAACGCAAATGGAAAGCGAGAATATTCGTCTACCACAGTCAACAAATATGCATTACGAGATGTTGTTGGTAGAGGCCCCTTGAAATCGATGCTTAATCGTTCTATCGGTTGCGTAGCTTTGACAAGGACTCCAGCCTGCTTTTGGTAAAACTGTGGTTTGAGCTCTGCCCAAGCTCTACACGATGAGCATGTCTTCTTGACATCTTCGGTAGAATAGGGTAAGTTCTTCGACCTTATGAAATGCAGCATTCGAGTCACACCAGGATGGCAAAGTGCTGTATGGTTTCTCATGAGACCCTCTGACGTTGACATTGAAGAAGTGAAAGCTCGGGTAAATGAATGTGGGGGGCAACATTATCCTTTCCAGGTCTGTGCTCCACAGTGTAGCTAAAAGAAGCTAATTCAAGTCGCCAATCTTGCATTTTATTGTTCTTTATCTTCGTGCGCTTCCTGCTATCAAACATAAATGCGACGGAACGTTGGTCGGTTTTGAGTGTGAAGTGACGACCAGCAAGAAAATGTCGCCACTTACGGACTACTTCTATGATAGCCATAGCTTCTTTCCCAACACCGGGGTAATGTAGTTCACTACTTTGGAGAGTTCTGGACATGAAGGCAACAGGACGACCAGCTTGGTTAAGTGTAGCAGACAAAGCGACATCTGACGCATCACTCTCAACCACAAAGGGAAGAGTTTCATCTATGGAATGAAGAGTTGCACCTTCAAGTTCCTTCTTAAACGTGTTAAATGCCGATAAAGCTGCCTTATCTAGTGGAAAGGTAGTAGCTTGCGTCAAGGGTCTTATCTTATCAGAGAAATTCGGTATCCACTTCGCATAGTAAGCAAACATGCCAATCACCCTGCGAAGGGAGCGGATACTCTCTGGCGGCGGAAGATCTTGAAGTGGGAGGGGCCTTTCCTCGTCAGGAGCGATCACCCCATTGCCAACCCGATAACCTAATACATTGATGGATGTCTTGGATTCGATTGATTTGCTTTCATTCAAGGTAAGGTTCCTGCGTTGGACTGCTTCATGAAATGCCTGAACATTTACGTCATGTTCCTTTTGATCTCGTCCAGCCACTGTTATGTTGTCCAGATATGGAAATGTGTCATTGAGGTTCTCGTCAACAAAATTGTCCATTGCTCTCTGGAAAGCAGCCACCCCATTAGTGACGCCAAACGGTATACGGCAAAATTGGTACAGTCTTCCATTAGCTTCAAACCCAGTAAACTTTCGATCGGACTCCTTTATCGGCACTTGATGATAAGCACTCTTTAAATCAAACGTTGAGAAAACTTTGTATTGTGCTAGGTTGTTGATTATGTCATCGATCCGAAGAAGAGGATACGCATCAAGCTCTGTGTATTGATTGATGGTTTGAGAGTAATCAATATAGAGTCTCTTCTTGTGCTGGTTTGAGGGATCTTTAGAAACAACAATTTGTGCTCTCCATGGTGTTATGGTAGGCTCAATAATTCCTTCAGACAGGAGTTTTGTAACTTCCTGATTGATAAACTCCTGGTCTTCTTTGCTAAAGCGCCTAGATCTACTGGCGATAGGCTTACAGTCAGGGAGAAGGTTTCCAAACAATGAAGGCTCCTCGATTGAGGCTGTCGAAGAAAGAGGACAGGCAGGCCTAGGAATTACTAGTTCTGGTCTAGTACCGCCAAACTCTATGGTGACCCGCTTGTGCTTCTTCTGGAAGTCTTGCCCAAGGATAATGTCACTGCAGAGATCTTTCAAGACTCCCAAACGAATGGATGAGTAGGAAAGTTGATTAATTACAATATCCGTAAAACAATGACCAAGGATCTGAGTCCTAAAAGATGTTAGGGCCATAGATATCTTCTGCGTTGATGGATGAAACTTGAGAGACAGTTTCCTTGCCATAGTTTCACTTATAAAGCTTTCCGAACTCCCAGAGTCAATGAGTGCGGTCAGTTCAATCCCGCCAATAGAGACTTTTACAGATGCTTGTTTTAGACTTTCTGTACAACTTGCAACAATTGAACAAAGAGTAGGCGTGAACATAGAAGCAGTGGTGATTGCAGGCGCTTTTGACTTGCAAACTTTAGCATAATGTTCTTTCTTTCCACAGTTGTTACAATTAGAATTCCGGGCTGGGTGACTTCTTCTGTTGTGGAGATTATCACCACAAAAGTAGCATTTCTTCGATGTGAATGTAGCTGCTAGAGAATCAGAATCTAAGGCATGAGCCCCAGCAACCTCATCTGGCGGAGGGGAGGACACTGCTGCAGTTGCAGGCATTTCAGGCATCCTATATGCTTCAGAATTCTTTTGAGCCAAGTCCAAGGTATTTGCTTGGTCAAAAGCAGTTTGAAGGTCGAGCTGTTTATTTTCTAGGAGCCGTTGGCGAATCAAAGGCGATAAGAGGCCATTAATAAATGAATCACGAACCAATTCCTCACGATACTGTTCAGCAGTTACGTTCTTAAGGTTACAATCTTTGCTAAGTTTTCGAAGTTCTTGGAGAAATTCAGTAAGAGTCTTGTTGCGAGCAAATGTCTAGCAAATTTTCATTTGGTGTCTTGACAAATAGTTGTTCTAGTACGCGAATGGCCGATTTACAGTCCTTGCAGTCTTCGATATATTCATAAACGTTATGACACACATAATTTACAAGAGTTCTATATTCATCAGGAGCTTTTTCGCCACATTCATCAATAAAATTAGTAAAGGTATGGTGCTAATGCCTCCATTCTTTCGTAGCTGTGGGCGAATTTGGATCTAAGTCGAGTCGTGCTGGTTTGAGTAGCGTATCCATGTTTTCGTTGTCCAAACTGATTTTCCGATTCTATTTTGGATTTATTTTAAGTAGGATAAATTGTTGTAATCATAAAGTAATAATAGAAATGAAAAACCATACTAATTGCATGGCTTTATCCTACTTAAAGCCAGCTATAAACTTAATACGTTTTACAATGTACAAAATGGCCGACACTAAACGTCTAACGTGGGCTCAGGTGCCACAGCAACCCAATCCGGTAACTAATAAATATTCTATAAATATAAAGTTTATGATGCACAACAATTACTGATGTCTCATTATATATGTAATTGAGTAAGTGACGTCACATGGTTACAAACAAAATAAAATATCTCCAGAACTAAGCAAGGGAACAAAAATCTTCAAAAGAAGTTACTATACAGTTTAAGAGCATTTATACAGTTATAAGAAAATAAACTTTTAATAACAGTGCCACTTTAAGTTACCCCAAACATGGTTCATTTTAGATTTACCAGGAATTTTGTAGGAATTTTGTAGCCAGAGTGTGTTCGAGAAATGCGTATATTATTTACTAACTCCATATGTTATCTTGCTTGTTTTAGTTCCGTCGGCAAAATATGTGGTATTTACACCAACTACTGTTGGCGATTCCATCATCTCCTTTCTTACCTCCGAAACATTCATGCAGTCACCGAGAGGACATCTATTTCGTTTTCGTTTCTGGTACTTCATGTACGGTCAAGATGCTGGGAATCTGATTGCTCATATCACACAAGATTCATCAACCTCAGTTCTTTGGAGCACTACCTCACGTAATGTTAGGAATTGGCAATTTCAACAAATCGAAATGAAGGCGGCACAGAGCTTTTCAGTAAGCGTTTTTTTTTCTGTTGTGGAATTTGTATTTTGGACCGTTTCATTTTTTGGACCCGCATGAGCGGTCGTGTTGTATCGGATATACATACACGAGCTTGTTGTTAGAGCTGGACAACTGGCCTGTGTAGCTCACTTGGTTAGAGCGCTGCACCGGAATCGCAGGGCCGTAGGTTCGATTCCTGCCAGGGACCTAAAGTTGGATTTTTCGCTTCTGTTCCTTGTTAGGTCTGTGGCTGTGAAATCATTAGAATAACAATATAACTCATTATCTATGTTAATCAACGTTTATTCATAGACACGGTCCTTTACTGTCACGTGTGCATTGTATTTTTGCCCAATTAACCAATAGCAATGTTTTAGGACAGTTACCTCTCCGTGACTCGAACAATATAGGGTAAATTGGAAATTGCTATTGGTTAGTTGGCCAAAAAACACACGTGACGGTGAAGGACCAGATTGATGAATAAACGTTAACTAACGTAGATAATGAGTTTTAGTATTTTTGAACAAGTGAATATAACAAATCCTACAAGTTCATTGGTCAAATTTGACGTATTTTAAAAGCTGTTATATTCACCTACAGGTGAATATAACAAAACCGGAATTTTCAAAATGGCGGCTAGCCGTTTTGTGAAAGTTCTGGTAAAAAATATAAGCGAATTAAAATAAATTCAGTCCCAAAAAACACAAAAGACTTGTGTAAAAATACCAAAACAATTATTCGCCTCAGGCTCGGTGATTATCGGGGAACATTCACCTCGACTTCGTCTCGGTGAATATTCCCCGATAATCACCTCTCCTTCGGCGAATAATTCATTAAATATTGTTATTCTAATGAGTTCCACAGCCATAATAAAAGTATATAAATTACCACTCGATAATTTCCATCGATAATACCCTTCAACTAATATTCAAAATCTCGATATTTTCATCTTATTAGGCTTCGAAAGTTATTTATGTAAATATTTTCTAGGTAACCCTTACGGCGTCTGCTGGTCCTGCAGCAAATCTGACAATTGCCCTGGATGACGTCAGCCTTCAAGTCTGCAGTAAGAATCATTCATTTCTTCTCACTCTCTGTAATAAAAAAAAGATGGCTATATACTGGGGCTCTATGAAAAACAGTTTAGAACTAATACGCCTATCCAGTATACGAATAAAGTTAGTCTAGTTTAGGTTTCCCCCTGTAGTACTCAAAACTGGATCAATAAGACACTGAACCTCTTGGGAGAACCGTCGCTAAGAGACAAAGGATGGCGGGTGTATTTTTTTGTGGGGGGAGGAACAAAAATATTTTTCCGGACATTATATTTTTCATTCACTTTTTTAATAGGCTTTATAACGTACCGTTATTCGTGAAATTTTTTTCCTAAATTTTTCCAAAGTTTCGCTATAACTATACTACTTTTTAATCAGTGTCCCTCAAATATTTTAGTTCTTTTCCTTCCTATTCAGTTCATGTTTTGCCGGCTACGAAAACAATTTGCTGACGAATTCGTTATTTTGCCGAAAATATGTTTGTACGCTTGAAAAGCTCTTGAAATTTACAGTTTTAAAAGAACTCCTTAAATACTCCTTGAATTCTTAAAATGTTTTGCTAAATAGGAAGTGAAACCACAGTATTAACTTTTGTTCGTTGCCATAGGTAATTCGTGGTGCAAAAACTGGGGGTAGAAACAAATCTTTTGATACAAATTCGCCAATATATTACACCAAGTTTTTGTTTGGAAGCTACACTGGTCAATAAAGCGTGGGCTTGATCTGGGTTCGATGGGCCGCCTTTTTCTATGTTTTCAACAATTTTTTTTCCTTGAAAGAAAACATCTCAAACACTCCTTGAAAAGTGCTATTTTACTACTAGTAATATACATGAAAAAAATTCTCAATTCTGGTCGGCTAAGAGCATTGCAATTTTTTCGAAACACAGTGCCAAAAAATGAAATACAGTGCAAAAAAAGAAATACAGTGCAAATTTCTTAATTTTCTTAACTTTTTATTTTTCAAATTTCTTAATTTTCTTAATTTCTAAATGTGAGTTACGCACGTGACTGCATAATTTTCATGCATATTATTAGTAAGCAATAATATGGTTTCTCATGCAATTTGAAAAAAACACATACTGGTGAGTTTTTCACTAAATACTTCAAATTGCACTCCTCCTTCTGACCCGGGCAATTTTGATAGTCTTTGAAAAACTCACTTGTGCATGTTTTTTCCAAATTGACTCGAAACCATGCTATTACCTATACTTCAAAACTTCTTAATCACTCCTTAAATTTAACTTTTCAAGACCAGCACAAACCTTGTAAACATTATAGACAATGAGACTTATGCATGGCAGTCATTTTGGTGTGACCTCATTCGTTATTCGCTGTTGATAAATTTCTGTTGAGACAATGTTTATCCTTTCCCACCAACAACTAGAAACTGTGAGAACCTCTTCCATTATATTACCAACACCACAGTAGATTTGTGGTCAAACCAAACATAAAACTTTGAGGTAAATCTGACTGGACTTGCCTTAAAGCCTAGTTTCCATTTGGCCGTTAGTTGTCGCTGGCACGACAAGCGGTAGATGTGAACATAGTCTTTCGATACATGGTTTGGAAACTCCGCTAAAGTCTTTGTTTTATCTTTTTGTTCGCGTTTATGCAGTTTTGTGCACGGTGCATGGTAAATGAACACATTGTATATTTGTGTACCACTTGGCAAATAAAACTTGTCACATAAAAACTTGTCATAGAAAACTTGCTTGTCTGCAACCAGCTTTACCCCAACTTTTTACTCATTCAAAATTTTATTTACCAACTCTTTTCTCTCCGGTCTCACCCCCCGCCATAAATAATGACCAGTCCCACTTCCCGCCATAAATAATGACCAGTCCCACTCCCCGCCATAAATAATGACTGGTCCCACTTCCCACCATAAATAATGACCAGTCCCACTTCCCACCATAAATAATGACCAGTCCCACTTCCCGCCATAAATAATGACTGGTCCCACTTCCCGCCATAAATAATGACCAGTCCCACTTCCCTCCATAAATAATGACCAGTCCCACTTCCCGCCATAAATAATGACCAGTCCCACTTCCCGCCATAAATAATGACTGGTCCCACTTCGCGCCATAAATAATGACCAGTCCCACTGCCCGCCATAAATAATGACCAGTCCCACTTCCCGCCATAAATAGTGACCGGTCCCTAATGATCTTTACTTGCTCCAGGCAAGCGCTAAATTATACCACTGTTAATTCAATGACTATCGTATCCTTTATAGATCCTTATCTTCAGCCCACTGTAACAAATGTCAGCCCGGCAGATAATGGTGGCGTGAACATCGGGTGGTTACATGCTGGTTGTTTTCAGACTTTCCCCCTCACTACCTTGGTATATTACCGAACTTTAAACTCAACAGAATGGACTCTACGTGCTACTACGGGACACAGTTCTCATGTAATCTCTTCAATCCTTTTCCCACCTAATGCCACATTCGAATTTAAAGTCAACACGCGTTACGTTGTTAATAATGAGGTTATTAGCAGTGATGATAGTGTTGTTTTTAAATTCACAATTCCTGGTTAGTGGCTTTGTATTACGACTCTAATAGTGTTTATTCATGCCTATTAATGTTTATTTTTTATTTGTATTTTCCAATTATGCTTTCAATACTCTGGTATAGGTCGAAATCAGCAAAAAAGACCATCCCAGTCGGGTGGGATAAAGCTTTCAGATCCAACCTAGCGCAATGTGAGATCTCGCTTAGCCGGGCAGGCTCGGTCTCATTTGAACACAAATTGAATTTTATATGCGTTAAAAAGGGCTAGGGGTGCACATTCGACAAATTGCTGGGGGGAGGATAGACAATCTGGGGACCGACTTTCTCGTTCTCCAGAACAAACATTTGTGACGAGTGGATTAAATAACTCTATAGCAGAAAAACCCCCCCCCCCCCCAATGTGCGCCCCTGGAAAGGAGATGCAGATCTCACTTAGTAGGTCAGTTTCCCTCTTCTCTGTGTTCATATGGACTGTCCCGTAGTTAAGTCATCTACCGTGGTTTTACATCTACCGTGGTTTTATGTAGATTCAAAACGCTTCGAGATTTTGAGCGAAGGCCAACTGCTAACTATTGAGTGCAGCCCTGTCCTCTATTAACTATGAGTGCAGCATATGCTCATATTCCCACTGACATTACAAGGGTTATTATGAGGACTCTTGTGGGAATAGCTATTTTGACACCAATATATATACGGTGCCATTATACGCCTGTACCAATCTGCATGTACATGAAATCCTCACCGATCACTTTACCAATTTCCACGAACTAGACTTTACAAACTTTCTTACATCATAAATAGGGTCAAATTCTGTTTGCTGTAAGCAGCAACACTCTATTTTATAAACCCACACGGCTTTGTATAAATAATCAACCCATGTTCGTTTTATTTTGCCGTGTTTTTCTATTTTTGGCCGTTGTAACCAGGGTTTTTTTCAGGGCTTTTTCACGGCGAGGCTTGAAAATCAAACATCTCATCAGACGTTTCAGCGCAGTAAAATGTGGAAATAATTTTTCCTGTTTGAAACCAAACAAAGTACGAAAAAGCGAATATACTCTACCCGAAATTGGTTTCACATCACAAATTCAAAGCAACTTTGAGCTGTCGAGCGGTAATTGTGGAACTTCTTGGGCCTTTGCCCATGAGCACCCCGAGTTCCACCCTATCCTCCCCATCGGAGGGGGTTGGAGGGGGAGACAGCCGTCCCAGACCCCAAGCTGATCAGGTAAACTGAAACGGACCCAGCAAAACAATTCTGAAAAAAACCTGGATAACACGGTTTCTAGCATCTCCACTAGCAGTAAATAAACAACCTGTCCTTTTTGTTCCAGATTTTTTCATATCGTCAACATTGACTTTCGAAGCTGCACCAGCAGTGCCATCCAACGCATTCATCTCAGATCGCGGATGGCTTTTGAATCGAGGGACAAACGTCACAATAACATGTAAAGTTGCCTCAGTAACAAAACCAACAATAATTTTGAAGAAAGATAAGATTATTTATCCTACAGAACTGCTAAAAGAACTAACAAACCCTCCATCTGAGGGAACCAACCTGTGGCAAGCTACAATGTCAATCCTTTCATTCGAGGACAACGACGCTGCTAAATACATCTGTGAAGTAAAGTCTGGAAATGACAGTGTACTATCTCGAATATTGTACCTCAATATACAAGGTAATTGATTGGGCGGTTTTGAAATTTCAATACTGGTTACGGTATTTTTAAAATATCGCGGTATACCGTTAAAATTTTTAAGGAGAAAATGTGTGATCTACAGTAAATGCAGTTTACACCCAATAACCCAAAAATTCAAGGCAAAGTCAAGAAAATTATCCATTTTAACGATCGTCAGGGTTCGTACAAAACTTGAAAGTCCTTGAATGTCCTTGAATTTGAAAACAAAAATTCAAGGCCTTGAATGTCCTTGAATTTGTAAAGAAGTACTTGAATGTCCTTGAATTCTTCTTGCTTTAGTTTTTGGATATTTTCTGAAATTGTTTGACATTCAAGATGGACATTTTGTTGAACTGATTTTGCATGTTCATATCTGACCTCATTATAAAGTTACGTTTTGAACAATTCAATGTCAGATTTTGCTGATTTCTAACGCCTTCTTCAGTATTTAGTCCTTGAATTTGCTGATACATGGCCTTGAATGTCCTTGAAAAGTCCGTGAATTTGACTCTTCCTGACATGTACAAATCCTGGATCGTAAAATTTAACATGATACTGTGGGAAAATGCTGTGCTGAGTGGTTATATTACTACCTTAAAAAATAAGCAGAAACTCGACGTTTCGAGCGAAGGCCCTTCGTCAAGAGTTAGTAGCCAAATGTTAAGTACCAATGTTAGTATTTTCACATTGGTACTACCTACACTGGTACAGACAGTTTTACTGTGGGAAAGTCTACTGATCTACTTGCATTATAACGATGTTCTAAAATGTTAAAGTTTAATCTATTTCGCGCGCGCATGCATTGTGTTTGTTTTTCGTTTGTGAACTTTTCTTGCTGTTCAAATAAAAAGATAAACTAATGATAGCTATGGTACCGGTATATCTTACATGCAGTATACGGCCGATAACGGTATACCGGTATAACCAACACCTCCATACAAGTATATCAATTAAATACCATGAATAACTAAGAATACCGGTATACCGCCCCACTTTAAGTGTCAGTAAGCATTACAGTGCATGGATTATAAAGACACTGGATAGGAAACTCATGAGCACGCATGATGTTGTCAGCGTGGTAATGGCGCCTCAACATTGTATGTTGGAAATTATGACATCACTCCAAAATAATTCCACGTTTAGCAATACAACTGACAATTTTGGTTATCATTCCATGTTTCGCGCACCAATATAGGTTAGGGTTAGGTATTAGGGTTAGGGGTTAGGTTAGGGGTTAGGGTTTGGGGTTAGGGTTGGGGTTAGGGTGTGTATATATGTGTATGGAGGTATCTAGTGAACTTTTCAATACACCATGATATCCATTACATAACGCTTACTATATTGGTGCGCGAAACATGGAACGATTACCACAATTTTGATTAAGAAACGTTAGAATACAACCATGACACTTTACGATGGAATATCTAAATATTGTTGCTTATTAGCTGCTGACTTTCGCCTTCATTGTTGACACGCAGAACATAATAAGTTATTATGCTTGTGATGTTACTCTGAGTGTATGGCCACACCGGGCAAGCTTGAAAAATATGCCTGGCCACGGTGGGAATCGAACCTACGACCTTTGGAATACTAGCCTAATGCTCTGCCAACTGAGCTACGCGGTCAGGTCGGTACGCTACGCGGTCAGGTCGGTCAGTAACATCACAAGCATCATATTCACCTGAGTACATTACACCTACACAGATAAGTTATCTTTTCACGTTCATTTTTATTGTTGTTTAGGTTCGTTCATGTATGTGCAACACAACAGTTCGTCAAGTCAGTTCATTGTGAACTATGATTCCAGATTTCAGTTTTTCTTACGTGGTGTTGGGGAAGCATACGATGAGATTTCCTTAGAAAGAAAAGACTGGTTAACTGGGCAGTATGTACGCAGCGAAGCTCGGATGAATGTTGGATTGTATGAAAATTTTTACATTTCGTTTACTGGAGTATATGACAAATGCAGATGTTCGCAAACTGGGCAACATCGCTTCAAAGTCAGGACTAATGGGGTGAACATCTCATACTATGATTTTGAAACACTTCGATTGACACGTGAGTAAAACCATGTACTGTATATTAGAATAATTTTAGCGGGCGTTGGGGCGTATTTTGATGGCTAAAATGAACAAATTAGCGGCCTAAAATACATTTTAGCCCCCTGAATTTTAGATTGGTTACGTCCGCTGGCAGTTTTTGCAATATCTTCAGTTTTTTTAATGTATCAAGTTTTTTTAAATTTTACCGAAAAAATGGCTGTAGAAATACAAAAGGAGAAGATATATCTATTTTTAAAAATTGAACAAACTAAAATCCACTCCCTAAAGCAAGGAAAAACTAGAATTATTTATATTGTGGCAGAAACTATACACAGTGACGAAGCGAATGTAAGTTTATCGATAGTAATTAAGTTTATTCAGTGAATGTAAATTTATCCATTTAACAATCAGAATTGATATAGTTATATAACTGTACATTAAACAACAACACTGATCGACATGATTAGTTGTTATCTAATGTCAGTCAAGTGGCACAACTCGGGACTCTTTATTCATTTCATCAAGTGACACATGTTCTGAAAGATTTGCATAAGTTAGGTCTTAAACGGACACCGAATCCTGAATCCTCTTTGGTATATGCCTGTTGTTGAAAATTTCGCCCCTCAATAGTTCGCAAGTATATCGAAACCGCTAAATTGCTCCGTCGAGATGTGCACGCGCGGATTGATTTTACGTACCACGTGCATAATGAACATTTTGGGTACCTCGTGGCCCATTTTTAACTTCAACGAAGTTCGTAAGCATGCTATGTTTTACAGGACTATGTGGTTTTACACCCCAGACAATTTATGACTTATGAAGTGTAAATCCAGTCATCTAGTGACCTTCAGTCATTCGGCCTATGAGAAAAGTGAAACCAAGATGGCGGCCATTGACGTCCATTCGCTATGATGGTCGTAAACAGTTCTAATACCATTTCCCCAGCTAATTCCAGCTTTTCCTAACGGACCGTATCGCTAAACAAGTTATCAGTTCATCGGGGCTACCACAATTTGGAATAGCCTTGATGACTCACTAAAATCTAGAATGACAGTCCAAAGTTTTAAACTTAATATAAAGAAAAACCTTCTCACGGATTTCTTAAATAAGTAATCCTCTGCAAATGTAAATTTGAACCAATGTTTCATATTGGAGTTTTTAGATATTATCATAGCATATTCGTAAACTCAAACCTCTGTAAATATAGCGATATACAGTAGTTAGTATAATATTAAGAAGCACTGCAGTAAATTAGAGCTGAAAAGCCTCTCGTGGAGCATCTAATAAATTATGTATGTATGTATGTATATTAGTCTTTAAATCGAAATCAAAATCACACTCTTTGCCAAGATGGCGGAAATTGAAGTGTTTATATATAACATTTTTTAATTTTCAGAGCCCGATCCACCCGAGTCTGTTACAGTAACACATAACGGTACCAGTCGTGCTCAAGTCACGTGGAATTCTCCCGGATGTAACGGAGGACCAGCAAGAGGCGTTCGTGTCTCATTCTACCATGGTAACTCGAGCACTCCAACTTATTTTCAGTCCAATGACACGACGTGGAGCTCCTCCACTGGTACAGGATCTTTCATTATTAACGATTATGAATTTGAAGTTAATGCGAGGTATAATTGGACGGTGGCTCTACTCTATGATTACGGAGATGAAACGGTTTGGAGTCAGGAAAGTTCTCTTGTCTCGACAAAGATCTCGGGTATGTAAAATTCTACTCACGTAATTAAAGTTACGGTAGTTTCAGAGCCACCAGTTCGGAGGTGGAAGTCAGTGTTGTAAGTAACTTCATTACCAGTAACGAAATTACAAGTAATCGTTACTTTTTTGAGTAACACTAACAGTAGCTATTTACGTTTTGAAAAGAGGTGACTGTAAATGTTACATTTTGGCTTAAAATGGAACGATAACGCTTACTTCTCTTTACAGTAATTTAATTGAACTCATTGCCAATCTAATTAATATTTAAACAAATTAAAAAAAATTGAAAGTAACTTTTTAACTAGTTACAAAAATCGTGAAGTAACTTTATAACGGTAACTAGTTGAAAATACAAAAGAAATGAATGTCGATCCGATCTTTATCTGATACACAAACTCTCGCTTTTGGCTCGAGTTTGTTTATCAGATAAAGATCGGCTGCTCATGTTTTAACTATTACTTCAAACACTCATTAATAATTCATAAGCTTATTGGCAAATCATGTCAACCATAATATGTCACGTGCAGTGGCTTTAAACCTGATGAAACACTCCTAATTAGTATTCTTTATATAAAGAATTCTAATAAGGCAGTATCTATTGTAGTTGTGTCCTCATCAGTTTTCTTTATATAAAGAATACTAATAGGCAGCATATCTATTGAATTTGTAGTCGTGTTTGAAGCCGTTTAATTAACTCGCAGGTCGTGGTTTATTATGTCTAAAGCCACTCGCGCTGCGCGCTCGTGTCTTTAAACATAATAAAACACTCCTGCTCGTTTATTAAACAGTACTTAACTTGTAGCGGTAACTAGTTCCTTTCTTGAGCATGTAACTGTAACTAGTTTCAAAAAATAAGTAACTTTTGAAGCGCTGGTGGAAGTACTATTCGTATAGCACTTATAGTTAGTTGTGTTTGTCATATTTAAAGGTATGATAAAGTACGATTACAATAGATGCCGTTTCATTAATAGAGAATACTAATTAAGATGACCTTTATATAATGAATACTAATGAAGATGAGTTTTATCAGGTATAATGCCACTTCACGTGACATATCAGTTTTGTATCGGATGTATTGTGAAACGTCTTGATGAAAACATTCGTATTCTTCAACAATTTAAACCAATTAATGATGAATTATTCATGATTTTCACAAGTATTAATAACTCTTATAATTCTTTGTATTGACATTTTCATTGACAGATGAATTTGACGTCAAAATATTATTATATGATGACAATTCTCTTGCGGTCAAACCAGGAAATGATGGTACTTACAAAATCGAACTTGGGCGAAGCATTATAATATCTTGTACTGTAGTCTCCATCACTCGACCTCAGAGAACATGGAGTAAACGCACTTATCAAGGATATGAAGCTGTTCAAAGCCAAGAGTTCCAGCCAGAATTTTTATCATCAGGCTTTGAATGGATAAGTACCATAAATATTCCACAATTTAACTACACTGATTCTGGTAATTATAATTGTTCTGGGACAGCAGGGAGTAATTATGGCATTGATTACGCAACAATATCTGTATATGGTAAGTAAATAGCATAATTTGTTTCTCTAATTGGTTCCTTCCATTCCTACTTGCCTCCTTTCTTTTCCTCCCTTATTTCATAGAGCTTTTTCCTCCCTTATTTCATCTTTTTCCTCCTTCCATTCATCCCTGTTCTTTCTTTTTTCAACCGTGCCTCCTTCCATTTTACCTACCTTGTCACCTTTACCCCCATCCTTTCTTCACTTCTTCATTATCCATTCTTTCTTTCCATACTTCTCTTCTTCTTCTTTCCTTATTTTCTTTCTTTACTTTCCGTCTCCCCTTCTTTCTTAATTTCTTGCTTCCTTCCTTCTTTCTTACCGTTCCCCCTCTATTTTTCCACCTATCTTTAATTCAGTTTCCAGTCCTTGCTTTTTCTTCCCTTCTACGAATGTATTACCTACCTCCCATTTTATCTTCGTTTGATCCAACGTTCTTCCCTCCTCTACTAAACAACGCCTATTCCATCTTTTCTTTGTTTCGTCCTTTTATCTATGTCTCTCTTCCATCACCCCTTCTCTTTTCCACTACCCCAAACACTAATCTCACCCATACTTCCTCAACGATTTTAGCGCCTGTGATTCTTATAACGACATCAATAATGCCAGAAAACTATACCATTCCATACAACTCAACGTTCAAGGCAGAAATTATCCTGCAGGGTTTACCGACCTATAATAGGGACCTTCAAATCCTAAATTGGCGAACTGAAAAGTTCAGCTCGATTGAAGGACAAACATTTGTGGATATTGATGGTTATTTGAAAGTTACAGCTCAGTACAACTCGTTCAAATGTTCAAACACGGGAGTTCATCGCGCTGTCCTCGAGATGGAAGATTATTCACAGTTCCAGTATGAACTACCAAGTCCATTGCTTATTTCAGGTAAGCGCATTACTAGAATTTCCTAGAAAATTACCACTATCTATTATTTTGATATGCCTTCGTATTTATGGTGATCTTATTTTTTCACAGACCCCGACCCTCCACAAATTACTTCAGTGACAGGCATGTCACAATCTACGATAAAACTAATATGGAGTGCAGGTCAATGCAACATGGGTTATCCTAGGGAAATCTCTATTACTGTATTCAAACGAAATGGAGACCTTCTAAAAGAAAGCATTTTGAATATCACCAGTTATAATGAAAGTACTGGTGTCGGTGTTACGTTGGTTGAAAAAGGACAGGATTTTAATGAATCTTACGCTGAGTGGATCATTAAAGTATCATATAATGGTAGAACGGAACCAGTTTGGAGTCGACCGTCACTGGCTTACTTTGCTACAGTGTCAGGTATGTAAGGGACATCAATGACAACTTAATCAAATCAAACTGATCGATTGTTAGACTAATCAAATAATCTATCATTTCATAAGTTCAGTCTCAGCTAGTCAGCCAGTGTCCAGTGCTTAATAAAAGCCATCTATTATTTTTCTTTTACAGACAGCATAACTATCAGTTTTCAGTCTACTTCATCATCCAGCTTTTCTGCACGCATAACTCTAGTGGGTCATCAAATCAAGAGGAACGAATCAGTCACCATCACATGTCAGACCTTAGCTGCAGAAACATCATCAAACTTTACTTGGTCCAAGAGAACATTTGGAAATCATTCATCATTAAGTGGCAATAACATCAGATCCTGGAATGAAGACGAATATTTGTATGGTTCTCTAACTTTGGATTATTTTGATTATAGTCGTTGTGGAGTATACAGTTGTGAAGTGAACATTGGGAATAAGCTACAAGAAGTAGAAATGCCGCTCAGTGTAGAAGGTACTGTAGATGCACCTGTACTACTTTGTATACCATGCCGATAGTCAAATGAACAATGTAACGGTGAATAATTTTACCGGTTTATAAACTAAAAGTACTCTATCACTATGAGCTAACTTTTGTTTTCTCAATTTCCTGAGGCAGACATGTGCACTTTTTTGGGTTTGCATGTAATTTATAGGCGGCAATACACAGAGATTTTCAAATTAGCGAGAAACAATTGATGTTTCTAAGTAAAATTATGCTTCTTTCACTGCGGATTTAAAAGCATGTCAAAGGGTTGCAAGTTTAATACATGGTGCAGGTTTCAGGTACATGCTGGTCACAGGTCGCAAATCATGTGTTGCAGGAATTGGACATTCCGTCGTAGCATGTGTTTGTAAACGACAACATATTTTTAAATTTGTCCCGACTCGTAACTTAAATTATACCATTGCGCAGACAATTTTAGGGACTATCAAAATTTAACGTATTGTTTATAAACTTGCTAGTCCAGCTATAACAGAGCGCAGAATTTCTGCAACCTGTCACCAACGACCTGCGCCAAAGGACCTGTGACCTGCGTTTTAGGTCCACCGCTTCTTGCTCGTCCTGTCCTCTTATGTCTTATAATATTCCTGTCAAGAAAATATTTCATCACAGCCTATAAGAGTACAGTACGTATAGGCTATTTTTGCTTGATATAGCGATTGATTTAAAGAGCTGTATGACTTAATTTTATAAATATGCAGACATGATAAATGCTCACCACTTGTTACGATTCCTATGAGGCGATTCTCAAATCATTTTACCCCATAAAATGTCTCATTTCCGTTGCACTCTTCGGGCTTGATTTGCAGGTGGTGTCAACCTAACACCATAATCATTAGATTTAAGATCATAAGATCATATATACAGATATCGAAGGAAATAGACTAAGTTCCGAAATATCATTTATATCACCTGCAGTGCCTTAACTGTGTTGACCTTGTGGCACAGTTGATAGAGAAGTGGACTAGCAAATGACTGGCAGGTTCGATTCCCACCACGGTGAAGCAATTTTCCAGCTTGCCCAATGTGGAGATACTCAGAGTAGCATCTAAAATAATTTACCAGAATTATAAGTCCACAGTCAATGAGTTTATCGAAGAAGAAGAAGGATCAACTACCTGAAAAATGTAGGTCCTTTGTTTGGACGTCCTTGTACTAACATCGGAGCAAACTCTTTAAACTTGGTGATACAGTGTTAGCCGAAGTGTGAATGTAAGCAACCTAGGAATCAGATGCTTCTTGTCAGGCTAAAAAGAAAACATATTGATCTTTTGATCAAAGGCCCCTTGTCAGGAGTAGTACTATTGAAGGAGTTCATTTTGAACTATTAACTATTTTGTTGAAAGGCCTTTCTTAGAAGTGTTTTTCTAAAAGACCCTATTGATGTGCGGTCGAAGTATAAATATTTGCCAATATCTTTAAAATATTTGGACCTCTAAATTAATATTCATATCATACACAGTCTGGTTCATTAAGGTCTTGTTATTACCAGGCCACTATATGAATAAAATATGTCTATTTCAGCACCTATCCTTGCCGAACATGTAGCCAAGAATTTGAATTCTAAAGTACACCATGGTAGTCTGAGAACAATCAAGTTTTTATTACTCGGCTATCCCCAACCACAAACATATGCTGAACGATTGCTTCAACCCGACAGCTACTGGAGGAATTATACAGATTATCTACCAGTTTTGAGCGAAGACATTTATTGGACGGTGGAGCTGAGACGTAACTTAACTTGTGCAGACACTGGTCTTATCCGTCTGGTGATCTTAGACCAGAATATGAGAAATGTAGTCAACGTAGAGGGCCGAACACCACTGATTGGTAGGTATCATAACCTTGCTGCAGGCAAAACCCAATTTTATTATACCTACCATCTAATAGAGCCATCATTGCAGTGTAGTTGGGTCTTAGTGAGCATTACGAGGCGGCAGATAGTGATAGATCTTCAGATGTGAAGAAACTTGTAGGGGCAAGCAAATCAAACTAAATGTCTTTATTTATATGCCAGCAAATACAAGGCTACTAGATATAGTAAATAGAAATATATTTTCGCACTTCGGCAAATGAATGTTGACCCCATCTGCTGCACAATAGTACTTGGTGAAAACCAGTTATACTATATGATGTTGGCCAACATGTTTAACAGGCATTAAAAATTTGCGTCTTTTTGTTATAATATTACTAGATCCTGACCCGCCTACTGTCATACATGTGGAGTACCTTTCTGAATCACATGCAAATGTAACGTGGAAGGCAACAAGATGTAACTTTGCTAGTGTGAAGAAAATAAACATTCAACAAAATGGCAGTAGTGTGCTTTCATATGCAGATACAAACTGGAACAACGAAACTGAAATTGGTTATCAAATAGTGGAGAATATTACGGTTGTGGAGCATCAAACCTATTTTTGGAATGTTAGTGTTGTCTATGGCGAAGGTGTGGAAGAAGCCACGAGTCAGTCAAGTCCAGTTTTTGAAGCTCCTGTTGTTGGTAAGCTAAGAGTTGGGGTTAAGTATTGACGATGGTGGCAATGATGATGGTAAAGGTGATTATGGTGTTGATGAAGATGTTTAATAACTCCATCAGTCTGAGGACTGTTTTTCATGGTGGTCCCTACAGATGGTGGTGATGATAATTGTGATGGTGGCGTTGATAATTATGTCGATTATGGTAGTGATTATACTCATGGTTATAATAATGGTGAAGGCTAAATGTTGTACTGATACTGGCGGTGGGCATTATATATTCATTATATGTTCGTTTTTAGATGTTAATGAATGCTTAGAAGAAAATTCTTGTGATGTCAATGCAACTTGCATCAATAAAATTGGTACTTATAACTGCCAGTGTAACGTTGGATTTTCTGGAAATGGATTTAACTGTTCAAGTAAGTGAGTTCACACATCACCCCAGGTTAAGCAGATACCGTATTTACTCGTTTGAGCGCCGCGGCGCTCTTTATATTTTTAGAGCTTCAGATGCGGCGCTCGTTTGGGGCCGGCGTTCTTTAAAAAAACTTTTATTTGTGGGTTATAACAAGAACTTTTAACAATAAAACAAACAAGTTTTAAACGATTTTTGTCACTAAATGTCCCCATTTTGAAGGCGGAAAGTTTTTATACTTTTCAGTGCGGCGCTCATTCGGGGGCGGCGCTCAATCGTGGGCGGCACTCAATCGACTAAATACGGTATGGATAGCTATAGAATATATTTCCAATCCAGCTTTTTTGGAGAAAGGAATGTACTGGAAATGCCAATGCAAATTAAAGTTGTCATTCACAGCATTGGTGATATGATCAAAGACCTTACCAATTTACACTATCCTTGTAACTTAAGAGGAATGATGTGTTTTGCTTTGTACATGAAATATTTTAACCACAAACATATGTCTATGAAACGAAAACACAAGTTGTAGCTGCCTACTTTTCTGTTTGATAAGGAAATCTGTTGAATTATTGTTGTTGAATTATCCAGTAAAAACTACATCACTCACGATTTATTATGTTAAATTGTTTTTCGTTTAAGTGGTCTGATTCTCTAATAATAGATTTACAACACCACCACTAAATGAGTTTCTCTTTGATTTTATATTGGGGCGAAATTACCAGCAAACTGCCATGATAACTATGCATAAAACAAACCATGCAGTAAATAACGAATAATAATTTGAAAACCAATTTTTTTTATGAAGTTATGAAAACAAGATTCTTCAGTAGCAATGCTAAGAAAAAATAGCCGGTTAATTTAATGTTGTGCAGTTTTCCCTTTAAAAAACATAGTATAATTGCGACTGCAGGCTGTCCAGTTTTTATCACAAATAGCAATCCGAAAAACAATGGCATCTCTAGTTTGTGTATTTCCTGTTCTTTATGTAATTTATCGTAATCTTTATTGTAATTCATCGTAATATTTATAATTTCCTAGACATAGATGAATGTTTGACTAAGTCATGCCATGTTAATGCCAGCTGTACTGACAGTGAAGGTTCTTTTCTTTGCGAATGTCATAGTGGGTATTCTGGAAATGGATTTAATTGTTCTAGTAAGTAGATATTTTGTTTCTGTATCTAAAATTTTGTACCTTTTACATATTCCTTATTTTTTATTGTTTCTATTATTTTTCTAGACATTGATGAATGTTCGAGCAAACCATGTCATGCCAATGCCACCTGTATGGACAACGAAGGTTCTTTTGTTTGTCAGTGTCACGCTGGTTATTCTGGAAATGGATTTAATTGTTCTAGTAAGTAACTCTTTCATTTGTGTGTTTAGAATTTTGAACCGTTGCGGTAATCATTTATTGTTTGTTATTTATATTATTTTTTCTAGACATGGTTGAATGTTTGAGCAACCCATGTCATGTCAATGCCAGCTGTGCTGACACCGAAGGTTCCTTTGTTTGTCAATGTAATAGTGGGTATTCTGGAAATGGATTTAATTGTTCTAGTAAGTAAATCTTTCATTCATACATAAAGTTTTATACCTTTCTACTAATCACTTTTTGTTTGTTATTTTTATTATTTTTCTAGACATTAATGAATGTTTGATCGACCCATGTCATGCCAATGCCTCCTGTACTGACACAGAAGGTTCTTTTGTTTGTCAGTGCAATAGTGGGTATTATGGAAATGGATTTAATTGTTCTAGTAAGTAAATCTTTCATTCACGTATTAAGTTTTGTAGCGGTCTACTAATCACTTATTGTTTGTTATTTCTATTGTTTTTCTAGACATTGATGAATGTTTAACAAACCCATGTCATGTCAATGCCAGCTGTACTAACACTGAAGGTTCTTTTGTTTGTCGATGTAATAGTGGGTATTCTGGAAATGGATTTAATTGTTCTAGTAAGTAAATCTTTCATTCATGTGTTTGACGTTTTGTACCTTTCTACTAATCACTTATTATTTGGTTTTTCTATTGTTTTTTTCTAGACATTGATGAATGTTTGACCAACCCATGTCATGTCAATGCCAGCTGTACTGACACCGAAGGTTCTTTTGTTTGTCAATGTAATATAGAGGATTCTGGATATGGATTTAATTGTTCTAGTAAGTAAATATTTCATTCATGTGTTCAAAGTTTTGTACCTTTCTAGAAATTGTTGCACTTTTCTGCTTTGCGTCAATACGAGCAGTTGCGCTTCAGCTTGTTCTCTTCTGTGGGGACTGTATACTATCGACGTACAATCACATAATATGTGCGGTCAATTCCTTTCGCAAATTTATTAAAATAATACAATTATAACGTATCCAATTCTTGAAAACATACAATCTTACAACCTTTTCGACCAACTCTAAGACACTCACTTACAATCTCAAGCGTCTATATTTGCGTCGTACGGATGTTTATATATTGTCTATTGTTTATTGTCACTGATCTCCTCAACTACCTCTTTCTGTATACTTACCCTTGTATCCACTTTCAAAGGATTAGAACTTCTGTACAGGACTTACCACCTTCGCTCTACTACCTTGTCTCTTCCTAATACTAAACTTTCCATTCTTCCCACCCTCCAACATTCTCTTTTAGGATTTTCATCAAACACTAATACAACATCACCCACCTTTGCATCTGAACTCTCTTTTCCCTTCCTAACTTTATGAAATTCCCTCAAGTTCGTTAAATATTCCATTCGCCATCGCCTTCAAAAGTGCTTCCTCATTCTTGCCAAATAACTGAATCTTCTCTTTTCCTCTCCGATTTCGTCATCACTTACCTGATTGGTGATTTCATCTGGTATTGAAGTTCGTCTACGGCCAAATATCAGATGCAAAGGTGTTAGCACATATCTGCCTCTACTTTCTCGTCATACACATATGTCAATGGTCGCGAATTTAGAATACCTTCAACTTCAACCAACGTCGTCAATAGTTCTTCAAAACCTAGCTTAGCATTCCCAAGCACCCTTCGCAAACAACCTTTCACCAGACCCACCATTCTCGCGAAAAATCCACCCCACCATGGGGCTCTCTCCAAACTAAATCGCCATTCTAATAGATTATTCTCTAAATGCGAATTCACTTCTTTACTATTATACAACGCCTTTACTGCCTCTTGTGCCGCCTTGAATGTCTTAGCATTGTCTGAAACTATTAGGGTGGGGGCACCTCTCCTAGATGTGAACCTCCTCGAACAATTTAAAAAGCAAGGTGCACTAAGATTCCTTACTAAATCTAGATGAACAGCCCTTGTCACACAACATGCGAACCATGCAATATAAACGTTTACCATATCGCTACCCTCTTTTGCAAACAATGACCCGGCAAAATCAACCCCTACCTTAGAAAAGGGTGGTGACTGCTGAACTCTAAACTTCGGTAAATCTGCTTGTGCTGGTGTTCCATAAGCTTTACCATTATTTTTCTTACAAACTACACAACTACAGTACCCATGCCCCTTTTTTACTACCTGCCTACCTCTTGGTACCCAAAACATACTGCGCAACTCCGGTAGTGTGGCTCTAAGTCCACAATGATGAACTCTGTTGATGTAGTCTCAAATGATTAATTCAGTTAGATAATGTTCCCTTGGTAATATCATCGGCTCCCTGGCTTCTATTTCTAAATCCGCATTACTAAGCCCTACCCTTACACTTCAGCACTCCATCTCTTTCCACTATACCTAACTGACTAACCAACTGCTGATAATCACTCCGTGATTTCAAACTTGCTTGTGCAGCATTTATCAATTTAATACACTCTGCTATCGTTGTTTCCTCGTTGTTTCTTCAATGCACCCAATGCTGCTGCCTTTCCTTCTAGACTAACCTTCAAATTATTTATAAATCTCTTTACCAGTACAACGACTCTGATTACTCTCTCCAATTTGCTATAAGCATTGATATCAATTACATTTCCTAGACTGAAAGTTTCTTCTACGTGGGTATTCATCACAACTGTCTTCTTGACGTCCTCTAAACATTCATCTGTGTCTAAAATCTTTTCAACAGCAGGCCAACTACAGATTGGACCAGTTAACCACGTCGACCCTTTCCACCAGAGCTGACATTCATTTAAAAATGAGGCAGTTACTCGTCTAGGTCCTACTCAGCAGGATTTTTTACTCTTGGACAATGACCCCAATCTTCCTTTCTGCTTAACCTCAAAATTTCATTCACTCTATGACAGACAAACTGTTTCCACTCTCCTCGATTATTTAATCAGCACAAAGCTGTTTTACTGTCTAACGAATAGTAAACACCAGTAAATTGAACACTGTGTTCTAAAGCTTCCTTAGCTGTGCTCATCAACTTTGCTAAAATTCTCGTCGACGTAAGCTTTAACCTAGGAATAGTTTGTACCTTTATAGGTACAAACTACCTACAAAACCTACATGATAGCTATCATTTAATTCTGTGACAAAATAGACCACTGCACAGTATGCTTTTAAACTGGCATATGCAAACCCATGTAAGGAACAAGTTGTTTTACCTATCAAGCTACCACAAATACATCTCGATACTACAATTTGACTAACTCGTTGAAGATCTTCGACTCAACCACCGCTTCTTTCTTTCACCTTCAAATTCGTCATCCCATTCAACTCTGTCTAAGCCCAACTCCTGAAATAATATCTTCATACTCACTGCTACTGGCGAAATTACACCCAAAGGATCAAATAAGCCGGCTAATGTACTTAGAATATTTCGCTTAGTAGCAACTACTGACTTGGCTTTTTCTGCTAATTTCGCTAAACAGAATATAAATTTATCAGATTTACAATTCCAACTCATACCATGCAAGTATCTTTTCTGATGTGTCACCATCGATATCTTAGCGTATGTTTCATCATCTAAAACGTCTTCCTGATATACTCTCTCTTCACTTTGTTCTATTCTCTGTAGAACAACTCTTTGCTGTTACTAAACCACTTTCTCAGTCTAAAGCCACCTTTTGCTAACCCTTCACTGGCCTGTTCATACAATGTTCGTACATTTAAAATGCTTTATCACTAGTCTGTTTTCCTGAGACCAAATCGTCAGGGACGCCGGAAAGGGGGTGGGTATCGCCTCCCTTGCCCTTTAGTAAGGGGGCAGGGGGGGGGCGAAAGTGCCCTTAGATAAAATTCTAACTAAAATAGAGATACAACGATTAAAAATATGAATTACGGGTGAAATGGACGTCATATTGATATATACGTGAAATTTTCTGGAATATTGTGTCAAAAATTAGGTTAACTTTCAAAAATTGTTTGCCCTTGTTTTGGTGAATTATGGTTCCGGAAAATTTTTTGTCCTAGTTTCGGTGAATTAAGGTTTTGGAAAAATGTTTCGGAAACGAAATATTAATTAGTGATTGCCCTTACGTCAACATTGCCCCCCTATGCCCTACCTTCGCTCCGGTGTCCCTGCAAATCGTCTACCTAAAAACTGCCTAACAAACTCCGGATCCGTACTTTCAAGACTATCCAAATGGTATTGTAATGTTGTATTCAACAAAAATGGGGAACAATTAACACCGAATACTACTCTACAAAATCTGTACTCTACTGGCCTAATCTCCTTATCGTGAACATCTTTCACCCAAAGAAATCTTAAGCAATCTCTATCAAGTGAGTCAACCTTTACATTTAAAAAGGCTTTCTCTATATCTGCGACTAATGCAATCATCTTCTCTCTAAATCGTGACAAATATGAAATAACAATGGTGCTAATTTAGGACTTATGTGAAGACAATCATTCAGAGATGCATGCCCCCTTTGGAGATTCTTTACAAGGGTCATCATATACCAGTCTAACCTCTGTTGGTCTTTGCATCCTTTCTAACCACTGCATGATGTGGAATATAGTGAATCTTTTCAGCCCTTTCTAACTCAATCACTGGCTCTATAATACCCTTCCCTAGTTGTTCCTTAATTACGCTATCATATTCCTCCGAAATTTCCTCAACCTTCCAAATTGACCATTCAATCTCTGTAAGCTAATGTTGTAATTACTTGGTAATGCACTATGACCTTCCTTCCGAGGTAACTTCACACTGTACCTTGTGCCATTAAACTTAATTGAATCTTTTAGAGACTCGTGTACTTCATTTACCTGTCCAATGCCTAATGTTTGAAAATTCCATAAACGATGTATACTCTCATCAAGTTTTGTACAACTTGAATTAACTTGCACAAGAAAATTTGCTTCGACAACATGCATACTATTTGTTTCATTACCACTACCACTTACCTTCATAGGACCAGACAGTAGTCAACATAACCTTGTTTTCACTGCCACAAGCTCGTCAGCCTTCCCTCGCACAACATTTCCTTCCTGGAAACACCACAGATAATCAGCCGCTATCAACACCTCAATTCCAACAATCCATTTTCCTAACAAACATCAGATAACCACAATCCTTGCAAATGCGAATAATCCCTTTTCTTCAACTTACACCATATGCCTCAATCGTCACTCTCTCCCCGTAACCCGCGGCGAAACTTCTAACTCAAAAACATCATGCAATTTTCCCTCTGCCTTCTCTTAACCAAGTGATTTGATTTCAATCCATTCCAGCTGCCTTAACTACCTTTCTACTCACAAAGAAATTGTGACTTCCTGTGTCAAATAGTACTCTGACCCTTGGACTACCTTCACTCCCTTCACTAAAGCTTGTGCTGTCTACAATGCTACCCTACTTTGAGAACCCAGAATGGAATGATTGGATTGAACATGGTTAGTAGGAACCCCAGTACCCTCACGAACAGACCTTTGGTGTTGTTTCCCGAATGCATTACAATTAACATTACTTGAACAATTTTTACTAACATGTCCTTTCTTCAAACAAATAAAACATCGTCCATACATACGAATATCCTTTAAAGTGTCTGACAATTGTTTCAAGGCATTTTTGTCTGTCTCGCCGTTGTAGTTCGTCAACTTTTCATTTATCTTTGAAACAACCTTTGTTGCTGAACCTCTACGTCGTACGCGTATACATTTCTTCTTTGTTAACTCATCTATCATTCAGGGCAAACTATCTTGTTCGACTTCATGGACCAAGTTTTGCACTTTTGTGTCCGAATACGAGCAGTTTCGCTTCAGCTGGTTCTCTTCTCTGAGGACTGTAATCTGTATAATGGATGAGTCAATTCGTGCGGTTACCATCCCCCGGGCAATATCCCGGGGATTTGTCATTTTTTTATTCGCTGTTAGCAAATTCCCCACCCCCGGGACTTAGATATTTGCTAATTCCCGACCCCGGGGCAGCGCTGAAAATTGATATTTAGTTACCAGGCTCACTTATATCTTCTCTTCACTGGATCCCCGCCCTATAGCCCCGGGGATAAAATCTGTTTAACAATTCCCCACCCCCGGGATGTATTCTTTTGCATTGTCCCCGGGTTTGCCCGGGAGGGGTGGTAACAGTACGATGACATGGTAACATGCATAATATCGACGTACAATCAAATAATATGCGCTGTCAATTCCTTTTACAAATTTATTAAAATAAAACAATTATGACATCCAATTCTTGAAACCATACAATGTTACAACCTTTTCGATCAACTCTAACACACTCACTTACAATCTCAAGCGTCAATATTTGCTTCGTCCGGAAGTTTATTGTCTATTGTTTGAGCAAAGACAACGCATTATAATGTGACTAGGGGATCGATTTACAACAATTAATAAAGAAATATAAAACGTAACATAAAATATTTAATATTCACATGGATTTATCGGACACATACTATTAATTACTTATTATTTGTTATTTCTATTGTTTTTTTCTAGACATTGATGAATGTTTGACCAACCCATGTCATGTCAATGCCAGTTGTACTGACACTGAAGGTTCTTTTGTTTGTCAATGTAATAGTGGGTATTCTGGAAATGGATTTAATTGTTCCAGTAAGTAAATCGTTCATTCACGTGTTTAAAGTTTTGTACCTTTCTAGCAATCACTTATTTTAATTTTGGGATAGGTAATAGGACCTCTACATGCGTCTTGGACCTGTGGTTTACTTATAATCATTATTTATCTCATGGATTTCTTATATTTTCAACGGGGTCTTGAAAGTAGACCATGCCGTGAAATATTGTATAAAAGGTGCACGCGTATTATGCGTGCGTTGCTTTGTGTCTTTTTGTGTCAATCCATTGTAGAAATATCGTAATTGAAGTTAACATGTACGGTATGTAAAGTTATTACTTGGTAATTGATAGGTGTAATTTGATGATGCACATGAATTTATCACAGGGTCGCATTTGACCATACTGCGATATTGCAAATTAGGAATTGGTAACAAGACTTGTGATTTTGTGTTGTGTAATTTTCCAGTATCTCATCTGAGTAAATGGTTTTCCCAAATATATCTTCACAGGGTCCGGAAAGTAGACCATGCAGTAAGATATTGCGGTAAACTTAGTCTTTGTTGGTCACTGTGTATTTCCACTGTGGTATTTCGTAATGTGTCCATCAAATGTGGTTAAGGCTATGTGAGGATTGTAAGCCATGACGTACTATATACTATATGGATTAATACTTTTAAGTAATATATGTATAATAAGATTGATTGTCCAAAGCAGTCCGAAGTAGTCCGAGCGAGTTTCGCGTTTCAACATGGTAAGAATAGTGTGATATATTGGGTCAATATCATTAATTAAAAATGACTCTAGAGAAAGGCGAACATGGGTCGAACGGCATGCGGAATCGCCCTGGACAAATCATCCCACTGGTACAACAAAATTGCATTAAGGAGATAAATGGATGATATTGGAGAGATGTTGTGATTTTTAATGAAACATTGAATAATGACGTGACTGTGTATTGGGGCTATAGCAAACCTCACAGAGTCTTGGGTTGACCTTGCTTGTGAAGTATGTTAGCGGATGGTATATCATATGGAAGATTCAGTACATATAGTTGTGTTAATTGTGCTTTTTCATTTGTTTGGCCCCTTTTTTCTAGACATTGATGAATGTTTGACCAACCCATGTCATGTCAATGCCAGTTGTACTGACACTGAAGGTTCTTTTGTTTGTCAATGTAATAGTGGGTATTCTGGAAATGGATTTTATTGTTCCTGTAAGTAATTCTTTCATTTGGGTGTCTAAAATTTGTACCTTTCTGCTAATCGCTTATTTTTAGTGTTGTGATTAGTGGGGGAAAATTCAAACGAATCAGTCAGTCATTCATTCAGTCATTCATTCAGACAGTCAGTCAGTAAACTTTCCGGGGGGGGGCTGTATACGGTTTATGTTTGTAGTGATGTATTGTATTGTATTTAGTCAGTGCTTTGAAGGTTATTTAGGCAATTTCAGTTGTCTTATTTAAATATTCTTTTATCCTTTTGCCAAGTTCACAAAAATTTCTAGGAATCGTTTTCGTTATTGTAATTTTTTGTAAATTTTATAACATTCGCTTCTCATGTTGTGTAAAGGATCTTCACCCCGGAACACCCGATTTTTTCTTTAGCAGCGTAAATTCACATGCGCTATCAAGCCGCAGATCACGATGGCGTGACGATATGTTAGGAAGGAGCGACAGTGTTGTTTTCAAATTATAAACATTTCAGCCGTGAATATTGAGTGAATCTTTGAGAATCTACGCAATATATAAATTGATGTTATGCATTACGGGCATTAAATTAATTTAAGTGCCGATATTATTTAGACGGTATATTCATTATACAGAGCTAGGAAGGACCTAGACAGACGTGCTTTTTTTCAAGTGTATAAACATTTCAGACGTAAATATTGAGTCGAAAATCTTTGAGATTCTAGGTATTCAACTGAGTGGCGATATTCTTTTCGCGGTATACTCATTATACAGTGTTGTTTTCAAATATATAAACATTTCAGACATGAATATTGAGAAAATCTTTGAGATTCTACGCAATATATAAATTGATGTTATGCATTTAATACAGGCATTCAATTAAGTGCCCATCGATATTATTTAGACCGTGTATTCATTATACATTGACTGTATAAGGTGCTACACCAAAAAATAGATGGCTATATACACTCCGTACAAAGAGCGAAAAATTGCATCAGATCAATAAAGTGTAAACAACTATTAAATAGATGCGGGTGTTTGTATGGACTATGGCGTTTACGAAGAAAATAACTTGCGAGACTAAAGATATCAGTTGAATCAGAGCTTTTTATTTAAAAAGAAAGACGAGGAGATAGCCAACGTGTTATCACCAATCGCTTGGCTCTCCAACAAGCTTTATGCAATAGAAGAAAAAGGCAAGAGCTAGCCAACGTGTACCGTCAAGGACCTTGATTACTGTCTAGCACAACGGTGCAAACTCCTGTTCAGTTCAACAATAAGTCGATAACACTACCAGATCTTAGGCCCGGTTTTACGGTGGCCCACAGGTGTCACGGCGAAAGTAAATAGCCACGGCAAAATTAAATTAACTCACGGCAAAATTAAATTAACTCACAGCAAAATAAAGTTAACTCGCGGCAAAATAAAATTAACGAAATAGAATTAAGAGGCCTAAAACAAAATGGCCGGCACCGCGCTCGATTGTCTCGTTTCTCTTGTAAGTTATTTCTTCAGCAAATTATAAACTATTAATCTTCTCTGACTTCCCTTCCTAGTTCTTAATTAGTTGTTTATACTGTTTTAAGCTGATTTGTTTAGGTAGATACATGACTTTTCCATTGTTATAGCTTATATAGTCAGAGAATATTAATAGCTTAATTTGCTGAAGAAATTACTCACAAGCCATTTTGTTTTAGGCCTCTTCTAAGGCCAGGCCTTCCAACGTTAAATTAATTCTATTTCGTTAACTTTATTTTGCCGTGAGTTAACTTTATTTTGCCGTGTGTTAATTTAATTCTGCCGTGGCTATTTACTTTCGCCGTGACACTTGTGGGCCACCGTACGGTTTAGACGGCGAACTTTTCATGCGCCGAATCTAATGCAAGAATTAAGTGCGACGCTGGAGCGGCGTCTAAATCAATTAAGTTCGGCAGGTTTGACAAGACAAGTCGTATATGCGACTCAGGTTCGACATTGATTTAGACGCCGTACTTTTCAAGTGCCGAACCTAATGCATAATTATTTTTTAACATTATAATATGATTATCATATATTTGCATTGTAGATATGTCCAATATAGTGTCCTTGCAATTTGGTACGGCACAATTATAAAGTTCGGCGTCTAAGGGAGCTTGCAGTCATTATTAATGCTGGGGGTGGGGCCGGAAGATATTTGTGGGGGGGCACCAAATATTTATTAACCACTTTGGGGGGGGGGGCTACCAAAAATATCAAAGAAAGGTAGGGGGGCACCAAAAATAATGTACAATAATCATAAAACATCAGCAATTATAGTTTACTGTAATATAAATGTCAATGCGGTAATCACACGGGAAGGCGTTGCAATTAATGATTGACACTACGAGTGATATTTAAAAAATGTGCCAAAATTGCACAAGCCGTTAATAATTAATTGCACGACTTGCCCATGTGATTATTTATTTATTTATTTTATGCATGGCATGATGACAAAATAGTTTTCTTTAAAATTCAACTTCATTTTGTCAAGAGTTTTTAATTCTTTTGTAAGCAATTTGGCATAAACAAACTTGGGAAATGATCATAAACTCATAAAGGCACATAACTTAAACTAGGACAAATGATTCATACTCAAATAACATATGTTCAGAGTATTACGAAAATCTTTATAAATTGTATTACCGACTTTATACATAGTCACGTTTCGCTGCATCTCGCCGAGATTATTTCTTAAAACTGTTTCCAGTCATTCTCCACAGACTCTTTTTGCCATACTATGTTTTTTAAACTCATTCTTGTGCCAAAATTTAGTTCAATTCGTCCATGTGGTTTTTATACAAGATAAAGATAAATTTCCCCGCCATATTGGACTTGTTGTTTTGATTTCCCCCTCCCCCCAGCCATCGAAATTCATTAATTGCACCACAGGTGGCCCAATCTCGCAAGGGTCAAGTACCATCGAGACTGATCGAGTGCAAAGTCTCGGAAAATATTAGTCCAACAAAAGAGGAATAAAAGGAGAACACACACTATCGAATAGACAAGTCAATTTCATTTTAAAATTTATATTTTATTATATATATTTGCTATAATATACATTGCTATAATATACAAGTCTATACAGTTGCTTGCGAGATTGGGCCGCCTGTGATCTATAGTATATGTTTGGAATGCAAGTTCAATCACAGGGGGAAGAGTGGGGGGGCTATGAAAATTTATTATATTTAAGGGGGGGGGCATGAAATAATATTTTGAAAGAGTGAGGGGCCATGAAAAATTTACCATGAGTTTAGAAATATCTTCCGGCCCCACACCCGGCATTAATAATGACTGCTCCCTAAATCAGTTTC